AAGCTGTATTTCATTAATTCTGTAATAGAACGCTTTCAGGCACCTAATACAACGATATCGCTAAGACAAAGTCGAATTTCTGATGGGGGCCGATTTCATTGAAAATCGACCCCCCCTCCTTTCGGAAAATTCTCAAGCTTAGTTTGTTTTGAACTGCTTGGGTTGAATGAATCAGTTGAATATGAGTATGGTGTTAAAATAATTGAAGATTATGCTGCATGGACTGCTAATTGTACATGAACGTTGTTAAATTTTCGAATGCTATCGCTATTTTAGTTTTTTCTTTTTTATAGTTTTACTGTATTTTGCTCATTAAAATATTACGTATTTAAAATAGAAACTTTGCAGTAGGTTAGATTTTTCCTTTTTGTATATAAAATATATGTTCGCTCATTGCAATTTTTGATACGATGGATACTAGAAAATTTTTTCCTCCAGTTATCCTAAAATTTCTGATTTGAATGCAACTATTCCATCGTAATGCATAAACGTATTTAGGATTTTGAGCGAAATTTCATCCCTTTAGATTTAGTGTAGCATTGTATTTTTTCCATTTTTCTCAGATGAGTCCCGTACCATTTTCAATATAAATTTTAAACTGTCATGGGACCAGTTTCATAGTATGATTTTATATTTAGGAGCAATTTCCATGTGCTATGCAAAACCACACGTAGGATAAAACTCGTCTGTTTCACTAGAGTCTAAACCCAGCTCATGATTTCTATTAATGGATGACTAATCCAACATTTGGCGAAGTCTACTGTGCAATCAGAAAGCTTTAACTTGGATCGAAAATAGTATATGACTAGTTTGAAAAGAATAACAAAAATGCAACAATCTATTAGACTTGAAGGATTAAAATTGTGCGGGCAATACTCAATATTACTAGGTATTAGAACAGAATACTTGCACTTAATGTACAGGTTTTTCCAAGGGGGAACAAACTGATTTCTTGATTTCTTGATTCCTGATGATTTCTGATGATTTCCGATGATTTCCATGATTTCTATTGATTTCCATGGTTTCTGTTGATTTCCTTGATTTCTATTGATTTCCGATGATTTCTGTTGATTTCTCGTGATTTCCAATAATTTGAAATTAATTTCTAGCATCCATGAAACTTTTAGCTTTCTGTATACCGTATGAAAAATGTCTTTCATATCCATAGATTTTATCATAATTAGAGATTCATTGAGTATAGGCGAGTTTTATTGAAGAAAATAATAATTCAATAAAATGAAGATATAAATATGACATAGCACAACAATATATTTAGTTAAACAAAAGAAGCTGAAAATAGAAATTGTTATTCCCCTCTAACACGTGATAATCGATCTGATGATAATGTGGTTTTGTCCTTTTGTAGTAACCAACACGCTGCTTGTTTGTGCAAATATTTTTTAACACCCTTAACTTTTACTTTAAAGTAAGTATGAGCAAGTTCTTCTTTCACGTTGTCGATCAATCTTATTCCACGATTTTCAGATACGTTAACATTAGATATATTATAATGATAATCAAACACATCTACTTCTTCATCACTCTCATAATCATTTGCTACATCTTCATCAATACTATTCTCTGTTTCATCATCTGAATCAGTATCGAGGTCTACATTTTTGTTGCTGGTATCATAGTTTTCTATTGTCCAAAATTCTTCAAGTTGACGTGAAATGGCGACACTAAGCTCTTTAATTGGTATTGTTTGTCCATTTCGTAAAAGATGCTTAATTTTAAGTGGTTTGAAGAGATTGGATACATATTTATAAGCATTAAGTACAGTATTTTCAATATCGGTCTTCGAAATAATAGTTATATTCGATGAGTTTGAAGCATTTCGTAATGTTGATGATACTTTATGATGTTGAGGAAAATGTAATTTATTTTCATGTGTATTATCTTTAATATTTTGTAATGTGGATAATTTATTGATTTGAGAAAGAAACTGGGAGACTGTAAAGTTCACACGAGCTGAATTAACGCTAGATATTGATTAGCCGATCTAAATGTGTTTTCGCAGGTTTGAGAATTTTTCAGCCATATAAGCAGAGCTTCAGGAGGAAGTTGTCCTTCTGAGACAAGTACAGTCAGGTATACAAGACAATGAGCATTAATTTCGACGGAGAAATATGATTGATACGTGATGAAATATTTACGTTTGGTATTATTTTTCTTTTTATTAGATATGGTTAAGCCTGATAGTTGTGTGAAAATTAAATCAAGATCATGTTTTTTCATTAAATTAATGTACATAAACCAAAATCGGAATATAAAGACCGCGGTCCATGCAAGAAATATCCGTTCCATTAGACTTGTATTTTTTTCAATATAAGCAATACGAATACATTTTATACCCTACAATAAATAAAAATGCGGAAACCTTGGATTTAAATCCGAGAGTTATGTGTACTTCAAAAAGTGAATTAGGCAGATGAGTCATTCTAGAATGTCTGAGCACCAAAATTATCCTGGCAAGCCTTTTCTATAAACACTTGATTTCTATTGGTTGGTGCTCAATCAATATGATTTGGGAGCGAATATAGCTCAGATTTGAACTCTTCGCCTTGAATTACCCTCAGAAAGTCGTTTTTCCTATAACTTGATTTCTATTTGTTACTGCTCAACCAATAGGATTTCGAGGCAAGTGGAGCTCAGATTCGAGTTCTCAGCTCCAGGAAACCTCAAAGTATCATCTCTGTGATGAGAAGATAGAGCTCTAATTGCGGATCAATTAAAGCGTGGACAAAAGCAGAACCAATTTCCGTTTAATTATCTTTGCAATAGGTGACTTAGTCTTCTTGTTTCTTTATGTTTTATATACCATTTTGAAGCTCGTGAAATTCTCTATCGATTGATATATAATAGTCGGGGTTTTATTTGACTATGATAGGAAAAGTTTTTTACCAAAACGGCGAAAGGTTGATCTTCGTATAGGAAAGCATAGGGAATAATGACTATTTTTGCAATAACTCAGCAATGGCTCGGCAAATCATTCTCATCTTCGAACTCGACCGAGATATTGTTGAGACTAAACTGTGTAGAAAATTTCATCGCGATCGGACTCTTCTTTCAAAAGTTATCGTGTAAACGGCCGGACGGCCGGACACACTGACCGATTCTAGAGTGTACTCACTTTTTGAGTACACAATCACTTTTTGAGTACACAAAAACCCGCAATTAATAGTTATTATCACAAAACTTTAAAATGATAACCTATGACTCTGCTCACATCTTTTTGTTTACGAAATAAAAAATTGGAGTTTTTAAAGAGCAGAACAGTGAAAACCTTTTCTAAAGCTTAGTAAAGGTATTCTGATTATATTAGATTCTAATGAAATAGAAAATCATTCTTAAAAACTTTTGATTAATGTCAGTCAATTCTCCCCTTCAATAATTGTAAGGTTGAAAACTCGCAAGTTGAAGGCTCGAGTAGAAACGACATTTCGACTCTTACATGTTATGATGCAATTCTGATTCATCTACTTTGAAGCGTTTTCTTCTACTTGCCTTTAAATAAATACTTATACCAATTGAATTTGGTATTGGTACTTGTTCAAGTATGTTTAAAACTTCATCACTCGAAATCTTGGTACAAGATTTATAATTTTGTCTGTCCTTTGGATTGATATCCGAAGGAACAAGTGTATGTTCAAGTTTAGAAATTTGATCAATAATAATAAAAAGTGGCTCCATATTAATTAACTGATCACCTAAAAGTAGATATGCACCAGTGCCAGTTAACTGGGTATCAGTTACACTGAGTATAGATTTAACTGATCTATGATTTATAATAAATCATAGATCAGTTAAATCTATACTCAGTATAACTGGTACTCAGTTAACTAGCACTGGTACATATCTACCTAAAACAAGCGTCGCTGTTGTCGAAAGAAGCCTATTTCGTAATTTCGTACAGATGTGTATCGGATCTTGCATGCATATGTATAGCTGCTTGTGTTGCATAAAATACCAAGACCAAGTTTTTGGATGATCAATTTTGAGATTATCGGGATGATCAACATATGCAAAATGTCCGAAAAAACCAAGAGATATTCGCATACATCGTAAATAACGACTATCGCAGTTGGTTGCATAGCCGATAATACGAGTACCTTTAAGTTTACATTCTTCATAAATATGATGCCAACGTAAAATAATGTTTGACGATTTGAATTTATTATCTGTACCGAATGCTGCTAGAAGATACGGAGAGATATGATTAATTGATAAAGAAAGTGGTTGAATAAGGCAAGCGTTTATTGATTTTGCCTGTGGTAGATCTGAACACCATTGTTCAAGATCAGTAAAAGAATCTGTCGAATATGAATTGGTGATGGGTATTCCATTATTGTCAAGAGGAAGTGAAAAACCAACAAATGTATTTGATTTTGTATCATATGTAATTTTGGGAATGATCGCCGTACAATCTTCCGCACAAAAACCTATGGTTGATTGATTGGCATTGAAATAATCTCGAACACCATCATAATTAAATAATCCTTCTGTTAGATGGTTTTCTGATGTGTTAATATACGACTGAATTACTTATACACTTGGAAGAAATGCCGGAATGTTTAAACGGATGAATTCATAAGCTGTGCGACCACCAAGGATGTATAAACTGGCAGCAAATTGACGAACAATAATATCATACCGATATCCTTTTTCTTCAATAACAAAATTTTTGATCATATTATTTAACATAATATTAAAAAACGTAAAATCAATTTTGCTTTTTTCAATAAAGTTTGAGTAGATAATGAGTGTTCGAAAAAACGGAAATTTTTGTAATAATTGTTCAGAAATAATCAGATCAGGAGAGATTTCGGAGTTGTGTTGAGAAGAACTCGAATGTTGACGATTAAGATGATGAAGAGTATGAAGAAAAGCTTCAACCTTGTGTTTAATTCCATTTTTTATGACAAGACGACCATCATTGAGTATGATACCGGCTTTTTTTTTAAGTGGAAGCAATTCATCTGAGTCAAGCTCGAGAAAAGTAAATATGTTATTAACACCAAGAAGGCATTCAACTGATGAGATATCTTGTACTTTAATAATTTCGAGAACGACAGTACCACATTGTTGTTCGACTAAGTTGTAAAATGCATCATCACGAAACGACAGAATTTCGTTCATTAAATTATCAGTAGATTGAGAATTTGACATTTCCTGAAAGTTCTAAAAAACTATTTTAATGATCATAATATTGCAGAGATTCAAGAATAAACATTACAATGAAGCAAAGAAACAGATTTAGAAACAAAATACATTTTACGCTGTTTTCACTGCAGAAGATACTGCATTGTATTTATGATTTTATTTGGAAGTTTGTTTCAAATCATTTTTTAACTATCCTTTCAATGTTATATCTGTTTTTCATAATTATTCAGCAACTCATATTAAGTATGAATTTTGAAATCCTTTCAATCGAACAAACTAAAATCAAAATTTGAAGCAAATTTATTTCACAAAAGTATATATAAACCAGTTCTATCAATAAAATAAAAGTACAGAATAGATCACACTCAGCACTAAATAATAAATGTTATAAGTACAATAAAAATATAACTATAAAAAAATATTTAAATCTTCTTCTTTTTCTTTGATAATGATGAACAGGACGTTTGATTTCTTTTTCTCTTTTTCGATGGTGCTTGACTAGATGAAACTGAATTTAGTACAGTATCGATTGTTCGGTCAGCCGATGTATTCGAATCATCAAGTATAGAAGCAGCATCGACAGTCATATTTTCACTACTGTTCTTCAACTTTTTCTGAACCATAGAACATGGATTTTCATTTGTTAAATGACGAATATAATTTGATAACTAAAATAATTAGATAATTTATTATATACGAATTTACGAATTCAATCATATAGACTGAGAAATAAGATAAAATCAATGGTAAGATCATAGTGTTCTTCTCATTATAAGGTTCAAATATCTAATGAGATCCAAACTCTATATTCACATATTTCAAACAATCAATTTTATTCCTTATGATTTTAGTCAAAATAAAGTATATCTCAATGGGTTTGGGTCACATCGATAGCACAACAGAATTGTTCTCATTAGGTTACACACAATAAGTAATCAATAGCAAATATTTTCCTATATCGATTTACACTGATGTAACGCCATTCAACATTCACTAGCAAGAGTACAACTAACCAGGTGGTGATATCTGTTGAGATTGAGAGTTTTAGATATTTAGATTGATCAATAAGAATAGTACGAAATCTCATTTTAACAAAAAAATGTAGTCTTCACGGATGATATTCTTATGGATAGTTTGATCCACTGTTCAGACATGATCTTTTCGCATCGATGCAAACGATTATTGTTATTGATCGAAGTAACGCCATAGTAAAGCATGTAAAAAGTAACGTCGGCTCGACTCTATAGTACTTAGTAAATCATTGTATGTCTAAACTAATTGTATTTCTGCAGAAAGAGTATATTCAAAGTCAACAGATTGAAAAGCCAACACCTCAGTAATTTTTCTCAAGATTCCGCACAGATCATTCCATATAGTACTCTTATACAAATGAACAACGTATATTTTAACTGTCATTCTCTTCTACGCTCAATATCTAAGGACATTGAAAACGAATTTTGCTTATCATTTTCAAAAGTGTGATATTCAGAATAAAAAGACTTACAATATAACTATTATTCTTTTGACCTAATGTTGAACATTTACCGCACTGACATTTTATCAATACTTTGTTGTTAATAGAATCTACAATAATATGATAATCAATCCCATCTTTGATTTGATAATTTTGTTGATTGTTGTTTTGCTCCATTTTTTGAGACTACTCATTGAGTAACTTAATTAAATGTTTTTTAACATTTTCTTCAAAATTTGAAGTGGTTCCAGATGATGAAGAATTATTTGCTAATTCTTGTTCAGATGAACATGTAGAATTAGTAGAATGGTCAATTATTAAACTAATGGAAGCTGTATTATTTGTCATCATAATATTTGATGATATTTTTGTTGTTTGTTTTTTTAATTCATTACATTTTTTTGTTAATGCATTTTTTAATAACATCATTTTACTTTTAATTCCTCGTAAAACAACAAATGAATTACTATTTAATTTAATAGATGTTTTCTTTTTTAAATCAAGTAAATCATCGGAATCATATGATAAAATTTCAAAAGGATCATTGCACGCTAAAAGACAATTTACATTACTAATATCCTGAAATTTAAGAAGAGCAGCCAACTTGTCGCCAGCAAATACTTTTACGAAATCAAAAAAACATTCATCTTCAAATTCCATAACATTGTGTGGTATATCAGTGCTTTTGCTGATCATATTTAAAATAATTCAATAGGATGCAAAAATGTTTGAAAAAAGATAAATGAACAGAAAGACATTGTTTGTTAATGAAGACAAAGATGGAAATGAACAGAAACAAATATGTGTCTGTTGAACCGTTATATGAAAAAAACGAAAAAAAAACAGAATACAAAAACCTATGGATTATAATTGGTATACGATATCGTGATACTATTTTATTGAGGAAATAAGCCGAGCCAACAATCATAACCATTTTTTTTGTTTTGTGATTGATTTCGCGTTTCTTTCACAAAGATTAGTCTTCTTTAAATAGATGTTATCGGATGAAATATCGTTGTAAAACTTAACTTTTTTCGGACCTGTACTGCTTCTGCGGAATAATGCTTTATCAAGACATGATTTGAAACTATCTTATTATATACAGTCTGAATTTAAATATTGAATGAAACAATAATAAACCTTTCGCTTCTCAGAATAGAAGCGCTTCTTATTAGAAGGTCATACCAGAACAAAAGTTCATCGCTTCTATCAGAAGGGGATGCGCTAATTAATTAATAAGATACGCAATTTTTCGAAAATACTAATCAATGTGTAATGAGATTTTTTAAGTAAAAAATATGTATACTTGTACCTGTCCAGTTCCTATTATATATGCATATATATATACATCACATACATCAATAGTTTCGCAATTATTCGATACACTGGTGAATATGAATAACAAAAATGTGCAGTTCACCTAAGAGGAGTATTATTCTCAAAATCTATCGTCCGTACATTTTCTTTTCGCCATCAAATTGACAAAGAGGGAATAAAAGTGCGATATTTTCGTTAATTTCGATTCGATATCGAATAATTCTGAGAAATTTATAAACGTATAATAATAAGGATGACTGTTGATTTCTGTTGATTTCTGTCGATTTCTGTTGATTTCTATTGATTTCTATTGATTTCTCTTGATTTCCGTGATTTCTGTTGATTTCCATGATTTCTGCTGATTTCCGTGATTCCTCTTGATTTCCATGATTTCTGCTGATTTCCGTGATTTCTCTTGATTTCCAATTGATTTCTGCAATAGAAATCAGTTTGTTCCCCCTTGGGTTTTTCAAAGAACCGAGTGAAAAAAATCTTCTAGTGCCCTATGTATATTTATTCTATAAAAAAGCTTGTTAGCGCAACTCCAAAGGGGCTGAAATATGGAACTCATATATATTCTTCAGCTTCATTAAACTAATATGAAGTATAGATAGTATAAAATCACGAGTTTTTTAATTTCCTGACACATGTCCTTATTTTTCGTTTTGTTTGTTGTTATTCGCTCAATATTTTTCATTTTTAACACTTCTTCTTTAAATTTACATTTTTATTATAAGGAGCATTCAATTATATGGCGAATGAAACTGTTATATATGGGCGTGGGCAACCGACTTGGTACCCCAACACATATTGGCTTATTTAGCTTCAATGGTACATCGAAGAAAGGTGATTTTTTTACCACTTATAGTGCATATATACCCAAGGGGAAAAAAGCTGATTCCGTGATTCCATTGATTCCACTGATTCTATTGATTCTATGTGATTCTATTGATTCTATGTGATTCTATTGATTCTATGTGATTCTAT